TATCTTATCTTAAAACCCCTTCATACCCCCCTCTTGATTGCAATCTATTTACCAATATAATCAAATATATTGCACACTTTTTGGCACAACACCGGTCATGTTCCTTTCCACAAATATTTTTCATAAAAGTAACCTACTGTTTTTGTACCGGCGGCTGTTCAATTATTATTTTGGGACAGCAGGTGGCGGTAATGCATCACCCAGTTGGACCAGAGTCAGACGAAGAAGCAGCAGCAGCAGAAGACGAAGAAGAAGGTGTCCGTGGTGACAGCACTCAACATGGCGTTCAATTTTGGCGGTGCCACGAGCAACCCAGCAGCAAGTATGGACATTTTTAGTTAATTATGAAATACTTGTAAGAGCTGGTGATGTGTCACATATTTCGTGTCGAAGCTAAAGCTGTGTTAATGCTTGTACATGAGTAATACATAGAAATGGTCGGCTAATGGTTCACCCTCAGTTGTTACGGTGGGTTCGTCTACCGGCTAACGACAGACATCACGTGAAAACAGAGAGCGCTTTTACACTTGAGTCAGTGCAACTAATGAATTGCAGTCGGATTTGTGTTCGCGTGTTTCGGTGCTAAACTGGGCTCCAGTGAGACCTAGCTCTTGTGGCTAACTGTTTTGGATGCCCGTGTGGAAGCTAATACAAGCTCACCCAGTACTTACAGCGCTCTCTCGTTGTTTGTTTGTTTCTAAAAGGCACGTCCGGGTTTTCATTCGGTTCATTTGGAGCCAAAACTACGCCATCGACAACATTTGGCTTCGGCACCCCAGCCACCACAACCACAGCCTCATCCGGATTCGGTAGTAAGTCCAAAGCTTAGACCCAGATTCACTCCTTACGGGGTTTATCCTATACATGGGGCATTATCATCACGTAACCGCCACCAATGTGAACAAACCCTTCGTCTCGGAGCATAACTGAGCCCACTAGGTTCCCTCAGTCTAGGGCTCAAAGCTTCTGGGTGTTTTTGTTTTGTTTTGTTAGTAAGTTTGTTTTAAATTGAGCATTTCTTCACCTCTTGATGCACTTTCAACATATCTACCAGTTGGTTTCTTGGGTTTAAATCCTTAACATGGGCAATTTGGATGACGGGGCTCAACCAACTAACTAAGCACTCACTATATGGTGCACCTCACAGATACAGATAGCTGCTAATCAGTCCTAAATAACAAACTAATTAAATACTCAAATGTCACTCATAAACCTGAACTGCTTGGATGGGTAGTATCACACAACAAGCCATATTGTTTGTCAAAAAGTGCTCTAATAGGGTGATATGGTACTATAAGGTCATTAAGATAAGATGGGGCCTGATTATTTAAGACCTTGTGAGGAGCAGGATTTTGAATTCAATTCCGGATTTACCAGGAAGCCAATACAGGAGAAATCTGCTCTCTCTTTCTAGTCCCTGTCAGCACTCTTGCTGCAGCATTTTGGATTAGCTGAAGGCTTTTCAGCAAGTTTTATGGACATCCTGATAATAATGAATTGCAGTAGTCCAGCCTGGAAGTAATAAATGCATGAACTAGTTTTTCAGCGTCACTCTGAGACAGGATACTTCTAAATGCTCAAAAAGGCACCAACGCTATAAACATTGTCAGGGTGTCCAGTTCGTGATGAGCTTGATAAAGACCACCACCTGAAAGGTATTGGTCGTTAAGCAAGCATTCCTGGAGCTTCTCCAAGAGGTCTGGTTATTTGGATGGTCTTTAGTCATATAGAGACCGGTTGGCAACCATCCAGCAACCAAATGTGCATTTTCTCACTGTTTAGCGAGTAGTTGTTGGCTGTTGTTGCTGTGAAATTGGTGTCAAAAAAAAAAGAATGCAGTGCTGCATTGAAGAGCCTCCTTGTGATTGCTAGCAGATTAGTGGTTGCCTAGTTTGCATGGAAGATACACCAGCTGCTCTCCATGCACTAGTAAAACTGTGAAAAGTGTGACACAAACTGTAAACTGAGTGTTCACCTTCAGAGTAAAAGTTGTATGTTTTGAAATATATTGGTTGAAATACTGAAGCATAATTTGTAATTTGATGGCTACAGAACTCCGTTTCTGGTTTGTCGCACTTTTTCCAAATTTCACTACGACTCCGCAAGTAGTTGGTGTTTGCAGACAAGTCATCATCTTCCATAAGACGCTATCATAAAGGAGGCTTTTGATGCAGCATTTTCAACTGATTTCACTCAGTGACAGCCAGCTGTCTTTAGTAACCAATCGCCAACCAGGGAATGTGTTGTTGTTTTTTTGTTGTTTTTTCCCTTGCAACCAGTGGTTGCGACTTAGTTGCCAGCTAGCCTCAAAGCCTGTGTGACTGCTGTATAACTAGGACCTTACTAGTATTCAGCACAGATAGTTGCATACAGTCCAAAACTGTCTGTACTAGGCTGTTAATGTGGTTTTCATAGCTAAAGTTGAGCATTTTATCATGGGAATGTGGGATTCACTCACATCTGGGAACTGCAATTGTGGGGACTTTAGTAAACGGTCCCTTTGTAAAAGAAAATTCCTTCAGGGGTTGCTACATAGAAGATAAAGACCTTCTTCTTGTGCTTGCTGTTAACGTTTTGTTTTACTAACTAATGCAAAATAAAGCCAATAATGTATTATTTTTGTGTGCTTTGCCTCCATTAGCTCTAACAGCCCCTGGTTTTGGGGCAGCCACCACCACCACTGCTGCACCAGCCACAGGCTTTAGCTTTGGCTCCACCAACACTGGTAAGACGCTCATTGTTCAGACTTTTCTTTTAAGACACTTGAAGACTGTTTTTACAATAAATGAGCCTGTGCTAAATCTGGCGTTGTGTCATTTAATTCCATGTCATTCTCTCTTTCTCGCTGCCTGCCTGCTTTGGCTGCAGGATTTGGGGGGCTGGGAGCTGGAAACACCATGGCTGGTGGGTTTAGTTTTGGGGGGTTCGGTTTAAATGCAAACCCGGCAGCAGTCAGCTTTAATGTGGGGTGCTTTGGTACAGCAACCACCACTGGCACAATTTTCAATTTTGGTAATAGCCTGGCTAGCACAGGTAGATGACCTTTGTGAATCAGTACACTCTGTCTGTAAACTTACATTTCCATCCATTGTTTGATATCTGTGTGGATCAAGGATCGTTTTCTCCTCACCTGGTGATTCATTTCATGAACACAATGCATCGCTGTGATTGCATGAAGAGATAAAATGTTGAATTTTTAGTCATTTCATTTGATTGCTGTCAAGAGTCACTACACTTTCACCTTTGTGTAGAGGTAAATCGCTATATTGTAGTGAAATTCTCATTCTCCTCTTATTAATCGTGGCAGTTGTGATTTCATTCTGTCATTCTCTCACCTGTTTTGTTTTTTGTTTTGCTTTTGGGGGGGTTTGTCACCTCATTGAGCACATTTCTTTTCTCTTCTTCTTAGGCGCATTCGGTGGCTTCGGAACAACGACGACAACTGTTGCTGCACCAGGGGCAACATTTAGCTTTGCTCCCCCCGCAACAGGTTAGTTATAGAGCTGGTTTGAACCCCCACTCTGCTTTAACATTTCTGTGCAAGCCAGGAAAGGTACATGAAGATAATGCTAGGTTTTTGAAGAACATCTTGCATTTCTGGCCAAATTGCAATGCACTGGAAGAGGAAAAAAAAGGGTTTTAATTCATTTCACATTTATTGATATAATGATATAACCCTACCATAATGGAGATAAAACCCCAATAATCTAAGAGCAAGCACTTGGCGACAGTGAGAAGGAAAAAAAATTAACAGCACAAAATCTCAGGCAAAAGCAGGGCCAGCCATCTGAGCCTAGGTGGTAAACATCACCTAGGCTACTTTTGTGCTTATTTTTGACTCGTGCTGTGTCGCTCTACGTAATGCTTATTTCAGTGGATTCAAACTTCAAAGTAGGAAGTGTGTCATGAGTGGCAGTGGCTCACTGGAAAAGGATAGAAAATTTCATTCATTTACTTACACCTAAAAACGCTGCCACACTGCAGATAACAATGAAATGTTCACAATTTTATTTATTTAGATTGTTACCACAAATTTATTTGGAACTATTGTATCACTTTTAAGGCTTCCGTTGTAAAATAACAAATGCTAAAACTGCCAAAAGTCCTTTTATTTTCTGCGGTGTCCCTCCAGCAAAGCTGGAAGCATATTTCCCACACATTGTTTTCTAAACTGGTTTTTCATGAGCACTCGTACTTCCTCAATCATACTTCCTCCCTGTGTTTGCACGTTGTTTTGTTTTAGGAAGCCTGTTTGGTAACACGCAGAACAAAGGGTTTGGATTCCCGACTGGGCTTAGCACAGGGACTGCTGCAGGAACATCGGGATTTGGAACTGGAACTGGACTAGGAGCAACTAGCCTGGGTGGCTTTGGAGGCTTTAATATCCAGCAGACTCAGCAGCAGCAAGGTAAGAACCTCAATTTCCCTGCAAATAGGGGAAAAATACAAATAAAATGGATATCTGTTGAACAGAGTTAAAGCCAACCACAGCTATTCAGACTGATATTCTGTTAGAAACAAATCTTTTACAAAGTTCAAAACTGGTGCCAATACCTTGTTGTTATAATTATGCAACTTTGGGTATCATGAAATTGGAGACATTTCACTAAATTCCACATGATTTTCTGGCATCTTTCTTTTCTAGTAAAATGTTTTTTGAATACATTTGAAGAATAAGATAAAATGAGCTGTGACATGTTTTACCTCTGGTTCCCGTGGCCAGGAGGCTTGTTCGGTCAGCAGGCGGGTCAGAATCAGTCCACCCAGCTTTACCAGCAGGTCACCGCTCTGTCAGCTCCCACCTTGTTAGGAGATGAGCGTGACTCCATACTTGCCAAATGGAACCAGCTGCAGGCATACTGGGGCACAGGGAAGGGCTACTACAGCAACAACAACCCACCTGTGGAGTTCAATCAGGAGAACCCATTCTGCAGGTTCAAGGTAAAGACAGAAAGCTCAGCACAGTGTGTTTGGTTTGTTTTGCTTTGAATTTTACATTGTAGTCATGTGTATCTTGTGGTTCCTAGGCGGTGGGGTACAGCTGCATCCCGATGAGTAAGGATGAAGATGGTTTAGTAGTCTTGATTCTTAATAAAAAAGAAGCTGATGTGAGAGCTCAGCAGCAGCAACTGGTCGAGTCCCTCCACAAGGTCCTAGGAAGCAACCAGACCCTCACTGTCAATGTAGAGGGTGTCAAAGCCCTGTCGAATGACCAGTAAGTCATAAATATGTGATTATTTTTCTTTTTTGTTTTTGTTGTAGTAGTAGTAGATCATGTAGAAACACTCTTGTATCTCCTGTCCTTTTTAGAACAGAGGTGATCATTTATTTGGTTGAGCGCTCTCCCAACGGCACCTCCAAGCGAATCCCAGCGAGTACCCTCTTCAACTACCTGGAGCAGGCTAACATAAAGGTCCAGCTCACTCAGATTGGAGTGGTCATGTCAGTGACACGCACAGAGCTGTCCCCAGCACAGCTCAAACAGCTGCTGCAAAATGCTCCTGCAGGTAAATGTGCATTTGGTGTGTTCTTTTCTTGTGTGCAGTGGTCCCTCGTTTATCGCGGGAGTTACGTTCCAAAAATAACCTGCGATAGGTGAAATCCGTGAAGTAGCCAACTTTATTTTTCACAATTATTATAGATGTTTTAAGGCTGTAAAACTCCTCACTACACACTTTCTGCACTTTTCTCAGACAGGCATGAACATTTTCACACTTTTCTATCTTGTTTAAACACTCAAAGTTTAAACCTTCGTAGAAGAATAAGTCCAGTATTATAGAATGAAACCAAAGGCATCCGCGGTTGCCTTTGACGGTGCAAAACGTTTTGTCGACGTTGTTGTTTGTTGGGGAGGAAACTTACAAATATACAGCACAGCACTTCAGAGTCACACTGCTAGCAATCAACGATTTATGTAAATATGACAAGCTGAATGCGCTCTGTACTGTACAGGGGAGATGGCACGATATTGATTGACAATGCTCTGCAGCCAATCAGGACGCAGAATATAAAGCGCTGTTTTAAAAAAACAAAAAACAACAAAAAAAAAACATGCAAAATTGCACACACAAAAAATCCGCAAAACAGCGAGGCCATGAAAGGTGAACCACGTTATAGCGAGAGACCACTGTAATAGAAGAAAGTGTCATTCAAGTTGGTTGTTTTGAATAGTTGCCAATAATGTTTCTTCCTGAACAGGAGTGGATCCTATTATCTGGGAACAGGCCAAGGTGGACAACCCCGATCCAGAGAAGTGAGTTGGTTGTGGTGTTATACGTTTTTATTATAATTAACGCAAAGTTACCAGAGTTTATAAAAAGCAAGACATCTGGCTAAATTATATAATTTTATTTAACTTAGTTGAACCAATATGGAAAATGACAGATAAACATGAATCGACTCCAAGTGTTCATCAGTCTATAACAAACAGTCTGAATTATTTATCTGTTATGATAAATAATTCAAAACCTAGTCTACTACATGACCCATAGAGGGCGCTAAAGCATAAGCATAAAGTCTGGGCTGACGATAAGATAACTGTTCTATATTGCAAACCATTGAGGGACCAGCAAACACTAATAAACAGCAAGTAAGCAAGCAACATACAAGAATAGAAAAAGCACACTAGCATAAACATCCATGACCCCTTTTCACACATTTTTAATAAATTAGTTCATATTAGGAGAAATGTTTTTCTGAAAGCCTGAGTAGGAAAAGCCGAGGCACCAATTCCCCAGATTTGATCTAGTTCCGATAATAAATAGTTTCTAAAGGTTTTTTTGTGAGTTGTTACCGTTAACTACAAGTTCAACAAAAATTCAATAAAAGCTGCTGCTTCATTTTGTGTCCAGGTTGATCCCAGTGCCCATGGTAGGATTTAAGGAGCTGCTCCGCAGGCTGCAGATCCAGGAGCAGATGACTAAACAGCACCAGACCAGAGTGGATGTGAGTGTAGTAGTCACTGTTCCTGCTGTTTGTGGTTTTAATTTTCCAGATTTTTTTTTTCTTTTTCTTAAAGGACTCAACATGGGTGCAGTGCATGTAAGCACAGGTGTTAGTAATGACATGAAGGTTCAGCTTTAATGTGATTAGAAACACCCGTGTTTACCTGCTATTTCAGGTAGAAATGTTCTGTTAACAACAAAATCAGTTTGGAAGCAAGTATATTTATATTGTAACACTTTGTTACGCTGATCCCAGCACGAGACACACACAGTTCTCAGTTGCACTTTCAGGGGACGTTTATTTAAACACTGTCCAGATCGCTCAGTTCTGCTTTGGATCTCTCTCCTGCTCAGCCCAGCTCTGCTCCACTGTGCACTCTGTCTGCACTGCTATCCCCAGGCCCCAGCAGCTACTGCAATAGGAGAAAGTGTGATTAGTATGGTGAAAATCAGCTGTGTCGGCCAGCCTCCCTTGGCACTGTCTGCTGATCATTGCTTCACCCCTCCCTGCAGCTGAGCCACAAACCACACGCCACCACACACATATGTATATCATAGGACATTTCAAACTAAACTAGAACATGAGACCTGGTAGCTGTGTGGGTTCTCATCTGCTTTTTTCTACTTTTTAATCTTGTCACTTGAGTCCAGTTCTAAGGCTGTTGGTCTTGAACTGTGTGTGTTTCAGCATAATGTTATAAATGTCAAAGTTCTCGTCACTCTGTTAAACGCTGCTTCAAAATGAGTCACAGTATCTGTTGTAGCGAGTGGACCTTTAAGTTGTATAGAGGTATTAGCCACACTGCTTTAATCAGGAAGAGGAAAGAGCAACAGAAACACCTGGATCTTTTTAACCTAAATTTCCTGGCAAAGGCGGTTAGTCAAAGTCACGGCCAAGCACAGGAGAGACGGCTACATAACTCTAAAGAAGTATTACATTTAAGCTACCTTGTGATTTACAGTCAGCTCTAATATCTGTGCAGATTGAGCATCCTTGCCAGATCAGGTTTGGCACTTTTCTCTGTTGTCCATGGCCCCTGCATTCAAATAATAAATTAATTTTGCTCCAGGTGAAACTTTTTCCAAGTCTTTTTGCATTCGGGCATGAAATTTTGGATGTGTGAAGACCTCTAATATCAAACATATGCTTGTTATCAGTTTTAAAAAAGCATAAAGTACTTGCAATCAAAGGAATTCTGGAAATGTCACAAAGGTTCATCCTCACTGTTTTCAACCATGCATGTGTGGACTTGCAGATTATCTCCAATGACATCAGTGAACTGCAAAAGAACCAAGCAACCACAGTGGCAAAGATCGCCCAGTACAAGAGGAAGTTGATGGATCTATCTCACCGAGTGCTGCAGGT